ATATAGTGGTAGAACAAACATGTAGTGGCTAGCTCATACACTAGCTAGCCTTGTTATTATTGCTAAAATGAACATATTATTTAAACACCAATATAAAGATCTTAGAGAATAAAGTCAGTATTTCAGACATTACACAGGAAGGAAAATATGTTTATTATATTTCTGCATTGGATTTGACATGTCGTGCCTTAACATTTTTTTACCAAGCAGTGAAGCTAACACTAGAAGATCCTTTGAAAGAGTAATTTTAAATGCAGGGAAGTCAAACTAGTGAGATTTTTAATGTTGCAGCTTCACTTCATGCCTTTAGAATTGGCAGAGCTCCAGATTTCATGGGAGTCTTTGTACACCAGCAGTTTGCCGTCATCAGTCAGCTGAACACGGCCAACATGAGAACCCTGCTGGTAGGAGTTGGTGTGCCATCTAGGGGTGTCACTGTTGTTGTACATGACCAGGTTGCAATCTGCCTGCATAATCAGGCGGACTGCATCAGATCCACAGGTGTCAGAGGCCCAGATCGGTTTCCAGCCATAGATGACGAAGTTTCCATCATTCTGCAGAAAAACAGAAGCAGCTCTTGCAGATAAATCAGATAAAAAGGATAGTATAGAATTTTTCTTAAAGGGGCAGTAATGTTTTCCAGTGCCATTTTCTATCATAATTAAGTAACTTCAGTTTTTATGCTGTATTCTTTGAACATCGCTCCTCTATTAACCCTTTAACGTCTTTACCAGAGTTTCACTGAGAAGTAGCTCGTATAATGAGCTCAGCAGTTCCACCGGGTGTTTGCTAATTGCTTCTGGCTAGTCTGAAGGAGCTGAATGGGTGACTACTCTGTGAGGCAAAAGCTCCCAGGAGGAGCTACGTCTCGAAGTCAGAGCTTGGCCCATCCAGGCTTTTTGCACAGCTGAATAGTTGCTATGGCGATTAAAGGATTTCCCAAATACGAATTAAAAAATTAAAGCAACACTCTAGGTCTGTTTTTGATGAGGGAATACCATTACTATTAAAAAGTAGATTTTACTGCCCTTTTAAATTTGCGAGATGTGTTCACCTGGAAAATCGCCTTCCATTCTCTGTTGTTGGACAACAGATAATCTCCCTTGCGAAGCTCGTCGTTGTGGGACAGGTAGTTTCTACTCATTTTTCTGAAACACAAAAAACCACAAAGTTGAAGTTGTCTGAAACGAGAAGAAATGTTTTTAATGGATAAGTACTCACAGCTTTGAGTGTCCAGCGGCAGTCGGTCTGTTTGGTGTCAGAGACAACGAGCGTCTTTATATTGTCTGTCCTGGGGGCGGAGAGGACATTTTGACTTTTACAGGTAAAGCAGATAACGGCCATAATTTCTTCTATCTTGACTTATCCTCTCCACTTCCTCATGACAGCATGTCAGTGCTGCGCCTTTGACATTTTACATGCTTCAGATCAGGCGCGGAGCTATGGGGGTGGCTGGGGGTGCGGCTGCCCCCTGGTCCAGGCCCGGATGGGGGCCCGGGTCTGGAGGTCTGGTTTCAAGTCGCTTAAATGTCTAAATTGAAGACGGAGAAAGTGCGCCCTTGCCTGTTGAGAAAGGTCTATTTAATGTTAAAGTTACTGTCCCTCAATGGAATACAGTCCCAGTGACCGTTTCACTCACGGTTTTGCCGAAGTGCTTTCTGGGTAAAAATAAAACGAAAAACATGGAACACACCCCTCCCCCCACCCCATCAGCAGTTTGATTCTGATTCGTCAGGGGCCCAGTGATTGGCCTCGCCCCCCGGTCCGACGCTGACTTATTCCACTAGTACGTCAGATAACCAAAACTGGAAAATTGTCAATGTTCTCCTGAACTCCTGCTGTTTTACGGCTTTTCACAGATTTGTGTGAAAAGCTGGAACTTCTTCTGATTGTTTTCCCACTCAGACAAAGGGCAGATCAAAAGATCTTGGCAAACGATCTGCTGTAACTACAGATAAAATAAAGGTCAATAGGGCAGAATAAGTTATTAATTTTAAAACTATAATTAGGCTATTTCAATCAAGACATGTTAAGTTTTAAAGCTAGCATATTTAAAATGTATTTTCTTAACACACTTCAAAAATAAAAGCTGTTAGTTTAGACATGCTACTGAAAACTGTCAAAAATAATTTGTTTTCAGACCGAACATTATTTCATTAAACATCATAAGTACTTACGGCCGTGAATGTTCAACCGGGATCTGACTCTGCAGAAGTGGAGGGATAGTCGTCTTTCAGAGCCGAGCGTATTTAAACCCTCTGAAATGTGGGTGGAGTAAATCTCACATTCCTTCTCTTCTCACGTTTTTTCCACACTTTACTGCTCATATTTCAGACAGACCTGTTGCAAAATAAATATAAGAAATTTAACCTCTGAGTTACCAAATTGTCATAATACAAACACTGTAACGAATGGGTGCGTTCCTACCAAACTTCTTCCTTCTGCACACTTTTCTGCTTGAATTCAGAATTTGTCAAGTTTTTTAAATGCACTAGTATAAATGCACAGAGCTTATGATTTCAAATTATAAAATATAACTGTAGGCCACAAATGTACTGTGTTTTTCCCCACTATTTCATGGAGCTCAGTTTTTGGAAACAACATTTTCTACTTTCCTGTCTTTTCACCAGGGCTGAATTTCAGTCTGTTATTGAAACTGTAGAAATAAAAATCTTTTTATAGAGCAAAATTTCTGTTTAAAAAACCCCCACAATTTATTTTACACTATAATCTAAAACTAACCTAGACAAAGTACAAATAGGCTTAAATTAGAATGAAATTAGAGGAAGTAGAACTGTCAGAGGATAATTGATTGTAACTTTTTAATAAAATGGTGAAACCAAATTTACAACATTTCACTTTCATGTTTGGAAAAAATGACACTATCAAACAATTATCAAAGTCAAATTTTATTTGTATAGCATATTTCCGCAGCAAGGCATTTCAAAGTGCTTTACATCATAACAAATACAAAAACACAGAGTCTTGCAAATTAGAATAAATCAAAATTCAGTTGTGTGTCAATGTTCAAAAAAATTTGCGTGAGGAAAATGCTATTGTAAAACTGAAGCAGTTGAAGAGCCGGTTTAACATTTCTGCTGTAAGATTAAAGTAACTTTTGACCTTTTGGACATAATCCAGAGTTGGGTTTCCGTTATTCCATCTTTTTAAAACGATTCGAAACTCGTAAATCCTGGTTGTGTACCTTTAGCCTAACTCTCACATCCCTTGTAGAATAACCTGCTACTGTTTTTCTGAAGGTTTACGGCAGTTTTTAAAATATTTATTATTTAGTGTATTTCATTTTTTCTGCCATGTTAATATTAAATATCGAGATGGGAACAAATATGTTGGAATTTAATCTGGAAAGGCAATTGATTTTTTTTTTTATTTTCTCATTTATTTATTTCAAACATGTTTGAAATAAATCTCAATTTAATTAAATATATCACTTAACTCTGATTATCAGAAATTGGAAATTTGAAATATGTTGTCATATGTTTAATTTACTGTGCTAAAGAACCAATAAATAAATTTGATTACATAAAAATAAAACTGGTACAAGTTGACTCATAAAAGGACAAGATCATTTACTGACCCATAATAATAATAATAATAATGGCAATTGTAAACAACAACTGGACATACAGCATCAGAATAATTACCAACTCTTTGCCAATGTACACCATATAATATACTTGCATAATCTGACTCATAACAAACAAAAAAAATGAAACAATGATGAAAATAGTAGTAAAATAATAATAATAATTTACTAAAGATTAGAGGTGTGCCAATCAATCGGCCACCGATCATAATCGGCCTGATTTCCGTGAAAAAGTGTATGATCGGTGATCGCCGATCACGGTCTCTTGTTGCTGATACCGATCACCTGCTTTCGCAGCCCGTCTGTGCAGCTGGTCTCCTCTTTCCTTCACACTGTGCAAGCGCGCAGCAACAAATCCTAAGCGATGTGGAACTATAACGCACTGAGTTAATGGGGAAGTTTGCATGTTGCGGCAGAAAATTGAAGCAGGTCAAAATGCATCAACACAACGAAACTAGTGGACCTTACCAAGCCCCGTCCAGAAACGCCCCTCGACAGTCCCACGTGGCTGCATGTCTCACAAACAAAGCCTCGCGGAGCTTAGTTTCTATGTGTAAACATGGAGTCTTTCGTTTCAACTGACTCTCTACAAAGTATTTGAGTCGATTAGTGTAGCCTTTCTGCTGGATTTTCAAAAAATATCAGCCACGACAATGGACAGGGGAACCAACAAGTTCATGTCATCTTTTTTGGACGACATCAAGGTGGTTGAGCCACGCGATGCCTCCAACATTGTGCGCGTCGCAGCTAAATGTTACCGGTTGATGAGGAAAACAGCAGATCCTCACACCCTCAGCATAAATATTAGCTGTGGACAAGATCACTGATCCCTATTGTTCTTGCAAGGCTGGGTAAGTCGGGCATTCATGGTTTTAAGGGTTCCTTTTGAAATCAGTGATTTCTGTTGTTGGCAAATGTTTGAGTGTGCCTAGGCCTGATACTCGATGCTAGCGCAGCTAACACGATTACAGTTTAGTAAAAAGCCTTTTCAGGTAAAATAAAATCATTGTGTGTCAGATACGGTACACATTGCATATTGATCTGTTCAGCTAACGTAAGACCATATAACAGACAGGCTTCAAGGTGTAGAAGTTGTATCGGTACTGCCATTATGCTGTACTTAGCTAAAAGGTTTTCATAATGGATGTGTTTATTACTGACTTTTTCTCAGACTTGGGGGTCATTGTTCACACATTATAGGCCTCCTTAAGCCCTAACAATATTTCAAGCTTCAAAATTCAAAAGGGATCGGGAAGGTTGCTGGTGCCTATCTCTAGCTAACGTTGCAGGCGAGAGGCGGGGTCACCCTGGACAGGTCGCCAGTCTGTCGCAGGCCACTCAAAATATCCCCATTCACTAAACATAAATAAAGCAAAGTAATAATACTTACACCAGCACACACTCCTTTCTTTTTATTTATCTTAGGACGGTTGAGCTGCAAATGCGGTCGTGCACAAGCTTTGATCCAAGCAAGGCATTCCGTATCAGATTTGGGAAATCTGTGAAATTTATTTCCACAAATATGATCAGGATACCTGACATCGCCTGTACAGATTCCCCACTGACAGTGGAGAACCATTCTTATTTGAGTTCTGTCGCAAAAACTTTGATTGTGTAGATTGTGATCTGCTAGTACTTTAGCTTTTGTTTGTGAGACGGTCAAGCACGTGGTAGCTGCGCAGTGACGTCAAATGACCGGCATTAGCCAATAAAACGCGGACCCTGTGGTAAGGTCCATACGACCTAAAAACAGTGCCATACTTGACAGAGTTTGGCTACATCGAGGCTCACTGCAGTA